TTAACTATTTCATCCTTTTTCTACACACCTAAATTACATCTAACTCACTCCTATATCAATTCGAAGTTTACAAACATAAGTCGAACTTCAATGATCATCAAAGGCAACTCATAAGAAAAGATTCGCAATTTTGTGTCTTGAATAGTATCAACAGGTCAGTGAAAAAGAATTCTCTTTTCCTCGTTGAATTCATCTGTTATCAAGATCTCATTTCTATTGTTGTCTTATACAATAATTATATTCTTTGACAAACACACTTGTTAATGAGTATCTAAGCATGCAGTGAGAAAAGTGAACCACTATTCTTTTCTTTGCTGCACAGATCATGACAAACTTGTCGGCATGTTTTATTTTTGCCTTATTCTGGGTTTTCATCAATCTAAACAGAATCTATAGATATAGTTTGATTGTTTCTTTCGATTTCTAGTTTAATCTCACACAAAACACACTGAAAACTGTTCCATATGTTTCTTTAAATTTTCTTATATAGAATAGGCAACAATGGGAAATGGAGCGTTCTATAAACGTGTTCCGTCGAGTGATATTCAAGGCATTGCATCAACGAATGTGCCAGCATACTCAAATCATGGAACTTATTCATTTCGAGAAAACTATCTTCATGGTGTATATACAGGAGTTCAATGGCAATGTGTAGAATTTGCTCGTCGCTGGCTCTTACTGCGTAAAAGTTGTACTTTCTCAGATGTCGACATTGCTTCTAACATTTGGACAAACATATCGTATGTTGAGCGTGTCACTGACGGTAAAAAATTCCGATTGATAGCTCATCCAAATGGTTCGAAGAAAAAGCCGCAAAAAGATTCATTTCTTATCTATCCACGTACTCGACGAATGTACGTTGGACATATTGCTGTTATCACCAATGTTGATCGAGACTATGTTTATATTGCTGAACAAAATCAAGAATTTCATTATTGGTCTGCTGACCATGCTCGGCGAGTACCACTCATTTTTACCGGTGACGGTTATTTTATTGATGATGATTATGAACTTTACGGATGGATGGAAATCGAAGGCAATGATCAGCTACAACCATTGAATGAATCGAACATTCCACAAATCCTGAGGAAATATCAGACGTTTGATGAATAGCATGACATTGACTGCATAAAATATTTGATCTTAATAAATAGATTTCAAACATTATATTGCAGCTTTCCATAGAAACCTTAAGTTTCCTTCAGAAAAATGACCTTTTAAATCTGCGACAATCATTCATTCGAACGATAGAGCGTTCAGATACTTTAATTCACCAGAAACTTGATTTTTCAGTTTTTTGCTTGCTTGTTTTTTTTAACCTTTTATTTCTTATACAAGCATATATCTCAACATAACACATCCTTGAGCATCATTAAATAAAATAAAAAGATATATTGGATTCATGTTTCATATCAACTAGCCTATGTGAGAATATCAATATATTGTTTGATATTAAGAGAAGTGAAATATTTGTTTTCTAAAAAAAAAGATTTAAGTGAATCAAAGAAAAATCATTTGATATAATAATACATTTCAACGAAACTTTTAACGACAAACACTATGCCTTTTAGACTTATTCACCGAAAAAGGCATGCATTTATTTGTATTGAATATGAGTCTTTGACGGCGTATTATCATCTAGGATAAAATGCAGCATAAACAATGGATAATCAAAGATATTCATTAATTCATATTGTTAGTGTTACAGCCATATTGAAAAACTATCACTTCACCTACTTTACTTTGAAGAAACAAGATAAAATGCTAAAAAGATAATCCACTCTCAATCTATATTATCTGAGATTTAGTCAGCTTTACTGATATCATAATACATATAGAGTATTAATTCTTCCTTGAAATCTTGATAAGACTTTTCGTGGAATATCGAGACTATTCTTTTTTTGACTTACTGGATCTATCTTGTCATAATATATAATATATTCTAGCAGCACCTGAAGAAGATTATCATTCCGAAAAGCCAACTTCTACATTCACCCTTAATAATGATATTATATACAAATTTCAGAATGAACGATTTTAAGCGAAGCATTGTGAGCCGATCGAGAAAGTCGACTTTATCGTCGGAGTTAACATATATATTTTTTTTCATCAATCGATTTCTTGCATACCTTTGATAATGCGCTTTCCGAAAAGTATCATATTTATTTATTTTCATACTTAAATAATAAATAGATGTGTAAAAGTTAATGACTACGTGACAATATATACAATAATAATGTCTAAATTTCGAACATAAGCTATGGTCAGTGGTGTATCTCTGTTTTTTAAATAAGTCAACAATATGTACTCGAAGCAGATTAAGGTGATATCGAATGAACTCTTTATTGGGATAAAGATGAACTATATATAATTATTGTTGTTTTAATATCTGATGATAAATCAACTTGTTCATAAGAACTTTTAACTGTTAATGACAAAAATAATATTGTATTAATTCGTTATTTATTTTAATTTTAATTAAACAATTTCTTTTTCTAAAATTGGTTCATAAATCATCTATATATGAAGAAAAATATGCTTGATTAGAAGTCTTAGCTCGTAAGATATTTTCTATGACTAGAAAATGTGCTATTATTGATAAGGGTAACTTATTGAACCAATCGATACATTATACTATTTCTTGATTTGAATTTGAAAATAAAACTATTTGTAGGTAATTGAGGAACTGATATAACACATGAAACAATTTGACCATTACTTTCTTGTGATCATTTATTCATATATGATAATCCATATGTTAAAATTTATGATTTTAGTCGACAAATTATTAGAAATTCATTTAAATATATGACAAACATAATATGGAAAAAATGCAACTCTCTCTAATCATCTTATTACAGGTTATGCTCTAGAAGATATTCACCACTTAAAACTTGGACAAGATAAATAAAAACTATTTTTTAATTATTTTACAGTTCTGTTCATGGTGAAGATTTATATAAATTAACTATACATAACAACTAACAATAACATATATAATCAATAGGTAAGCAAACGATCTTCTCAACATTTTTAGATGTTCTCATCTTATTCTAAAAAAATTATATGTTTTTGTTTTATCCTATATTTTCTTATATTCCCAGGTCAATCAATACAGCTATCCGTATTTTCACCGTAATTTCGCCGAATACCGCCGTTTACGGTCAGAAATAGTACGTAAATGGGCAGTATTTACTCGTAATATTGGGCACAGTAATAGAGCACCGTATACGAGGCCGTATTTTTACTTTATACGGCGGTATACGTGCCGTAATTCCATTATGATAGGGCCGTATTTCTGTGCTCGATATCACGACCGTATACGGTCCGTTTATACGTCGTAAAGTAACCGTAAACGGTCGTATACAGATCGTATCTTTTGACTTGGGTTCGTGTACAAAAATGGCACAACAAATATAAGAAATACAAAAAATATGTAATACAGCATGAAAAAAGAATTTATACAACATGAAAAACAAATTATATTAAGCAAAAAATTGTCTATCATGTTCACGTAATTTACTTATTTCATGTAATATGACCAGTGTTGTACTTTATTTAATTTTCATTTTACGATATAAACGTTTTTCTGCTAATAATAGTAATGCTCTACCATTAATTTCATGCTCACGAAGACTTCAGCAATGTTAATATTCGTTAATTTTTCAATATATTCTTCAACTTGAAGAATTGACCAATTTTTAACATGAATTGGTAAATGAAGATTTTCTTTTTCTTGCACATTTGAAATATTTAATGTGTTCAATTCATCATCATTATCAGCAACTCGAAATAATGGATCTTTACGTAAATCCAAATCATTTGTATAAGATGAAATAGCATCATTGCTTTTTATTGGACTATGAATTTGTGTGGGAGAAGAATTTAATTGAGTAGGATTAGGTATGGTTATTGTTTTAGTTATCAACGATGGATGAGGAGAACTTATTTTTTGAGATGATGTTGAAGCAATTACTTGTAGAAATTTTAATAAAATTGTTCTTTGATTTTCAGTTGTATGAGTTATTGGAGATATACGTGGATGGAAAATTTCGCATGTTGATGACGGTGTTAATGAAGAAGAAAGAATTGTTGTTGGTATAGATGAATCAGAATATGAAGAACAGATGAATGATTATTATATTTGAAGGATCATTTATGATTGATGCAGCACGAATGTTTGTTGATAATCCTTTATCAATGGTTGATGATAGACAAGAATTTTGTTGTTGTTAGAGTAACGAAGAATCATGACAAAGAATTATAGTCTATGAATTGTAGAAAAAAACCTAATCCATATAGTAAATGTACTAATTTCAACCTTCTGGCTTTAATTAGGAAGAGAAGTTGATATGAAATTAATTTTAGTTTTAAGTGCAAATGTCAGATTTTATTATTTTTTTCATTTTATAGGTAAGTTTATGTCTTTGTTAGATATTATATTTCATGTAATCTAATAGCATTACAAAACACGAACAAGCAAAAAATAAATTTCTCAACAACCTACTGTATGATTAATTTGATGATTTGTAGAGATTACCCTAGTGAATGTACTCACCAAGAGAGTACTCAAAAAGTACTCACGCTAGAAAATGGCGCGAGAACTCATGAGTACTCGTGGGTTTGAGTACTCAACAGTAGTACTCGTGTATAGGGTCTGAGTATCTGAGTACGACTATTCAGTACTCGCCCTGTAAAATCGCGTGTTTTGCCAGTACTCATCATACATTTTCTGAGTACTCTGATGAATTTTTGTAAAATACTCATAGATCTATATTTGGTTCTGCAACTTCGTGCTGCG